AAAAAAAAAAAAAAAACCACAAGAATTGCAAACAGCATATACATTTGTCAATATTGGAATGGATAAGCAAAGTATGGTATATTCATACAATGAACTATACTGCAGAGTGAAAATTAATGAAATATAGCCATAAGCATTAATCTGGATGAATCTATAAAACAACACTGAGCGTAAGAAGCATGTATTCCATTGACATAAATTTTGAAAATACCAAAATTAAACATCATAGTGTCTATAAATACATACATATAGTTCTAAAACAGTAAGAGCAAGAGAATGATTATCCCAAAATCTAGGATCATGACTATCTCTGCAAGATGGAGGGGTTGCAATCCATGAGGGGTACACAGGTATTTCTAAAGTACACAGGTATTTCTAAAGTACTGGAAATGTTGTATTTTTTTTAACATGGGTAGTAAGGACACTAATGTTTATTTTATTATTTTTCTTTGAATTCTAAATAGGTTTATATATATATATATATATATATTCCTTTATATGTATGATGTAATTTACAAAAAACAACATTTAAAAATATAGCAATATAAACTTCATATGTCTCACAGGAGTCTGCTTAAGATTCAAGCCAGCTGAAAGCAAGGGAATTTTTACTGCTAGATAAAAACACAAAGGTTTCTAAAGGAACTCTTACCCTGTGCAGCTTCTTCAACATTTCTAGGAGAGCTTGAACATTACCATTCTCCTCAGCACTTTCATCCCAGTAATCCAACTGGCATACGACAGCTGTTTTAAACATCTGGACCAGTTTGCTGAAAGTGGATTCTTGCAGAGTTGCCCAATACTCTTCTGAGGAATACAAGGAAAGCAAATTGTTTTAAAAATGAGTTTTATTGTGGTTTTTTTGTTTGTTTGTTTGAGACGGAGTCTCGCCCTGTGGCCCAGGCTGGAGTGTAGTGGCACAATCTCAGCTCACTACAACCTCTGCCTCCCAGGTTCAAGCAATTCTTCTGCCTCACCCTCCTGAGTGGCTGGAATTACAGGCGCCTACCACCATGCCTGGATAATTTTTGTATTTTTATAGAGACAAGGTTTCACCATGTTGGCCAGGCTGGTCTTAAACTCCTGACCTCAGGTGATCCTCCCACCTCTGCCTCCCAAAGTGCTGGGATTATAGGCGTGAGCCACCTCACCAGCTTATTGTGTATATTTGAGGTCTACAAAATGTAATGGGATACATATAAATAGTAAAATTGTTACTATAGTGAAGCAAATTAACATTTTTTTGCAGGCCAGGCATGGTGGCTCACACCTGCAATCCCAGCACTTTGGGAGGCTGAGGCAGGTGGATTGTCTGAGCTCAGCAGTTCGAGGCCAGCCTGGGCAACATAGAGAAACTCGGTCTCTACCAAAAATACCAAATATTAGCTGGGCATGGTGGCACGTATCTGTGCCACCTCGGGAGGCTACTCGGGAGCTACTCGGGAGGCTGAGGTGGGAGAATCACTTCAGACTGGGAGGTGGAGGCTGCAGTGAGCTGAGATTGTGCCAGAGAACTCCAACCTGGGTGACAGAGTAAGACCCTATCTCAAAAAAAAAATTTTCTTTTTATAACAAGAACAGCTAACATCTACTTACTTAACAACAATAAAATCCCTAATACAATGTTATTAACTATAGTCCTCCTGTTGTCTTGTCTAGTAGATCTCTAAGCTTGATCCTACACATCTGCTTCTTTGTGTCCTTTGAACTACATCTCCACATTTCCTTTCCACCCCATCCACTAGTAACCACTATTTTATTATCTATCTCTGCATATTTGACCTTTACAAGGAAGGTAAATATAATTATCATGTATTTTACTTAGATTCTTGAAGGAAAAAAGTAGCCAATATTTTCTGAAACACATAACAAAATATTTTACTATATATCATAATTACAAAAGCACACTTGTAATAAACTTTTCACTGAATAAATACAATTACTATTACAAGTTTAGAATTTAACTTTCTGGTTGCTTGAGCCCAGGAGTTCAAGATTACAGTGAGCTACAATTGTACCACTGTACTCCAGCAAGGTGACAGAGTGAGCCCCTGTCTCTACTAAAAAATACTACTAATAATTTAACATCCTGGAAAAGTTCCTTTACAGTTAATAGAACTACAGATTTGATGTAATTAACTTGTGAAAAAATATGAACAAAATTAATCACATTTTTGCTGAGATGAAACAGTATAATGCGTTAAAAATTAAAAATTGTTTGTGATTGCATAATTTTCTTTTTGTGCTCCCAGTCTGAGATTTTTAACTCTTAGAAAACATATTTCAGCATTTTAAAAAACAAAAACCATTTTAAAGTAGCTTTTCATCACTTATCATGTTACCCAGTTTTAATAAAACATAAAGAATGGACTTCCTTGAGCTGAATATGCTATGCATGTCAAAAATCCCATTAAATCTATTCATGCCCCTAGAACTTACTTGCAGTGTACTGGAAATACAGGGATAGGATGAAACAGTCAGACTGTCTGGATATGGGACAGTCTACAAGACATCTGACCAGGATTCATCTTTCCTTCCTCCTTCATTCCTTCCTCCTTCATTCCTTCCTTCGCTCCCTCCTCCTTCCCTTCTCTTCCCCTTCTCCTTCCCTTCTCCTCCCCCATCCCCCTTCCCTTCCCCTTCTCCTTCCCTCACCTTCCCCTTCCCTTCCCCTTTCTTCTCCCTTCCCCTTCCCTTCCCTTTCCCTTCCCCTTCCCTTTCCTTCCCCTTCCCCCTCTCCCTTCCCC